AATTACAAATATACACTTGAGGAAGATCGACGAAAGCAAAGAAAGTACGGAACACTATCAGAACTACCTAGCTGTCATTATCGACGAGTGTCCTGATACTCTTTCTTCATGAAGTCAACCAAGCTTTGCGATGAATCCATCAATTTAGCATATGTGGCTTCTCCCTGAATATATACTGTTGTCGAGAATAAGACGTAACAAAAACTATTTCAACACATTCATATGGATGAATCGATATGTAGAAAGGCATCACACTCACTGCAATAACAAGCAACATACCATAGACATTACAAAGCCAACACGAAATCTACCGAAATAGCATGTAAATTTGGCTCGGCAAATAGCCATCTCCAATGGCAACGAAATAGTAACCCTACGAGATAAGTTTAGAAAAAGAGCGACGCGCCCACGCGAAACACTTGGCCAAAAGAAAGTCCCGTTTATGTTGCCTTTTATAAGCGATGAAGTAAGCGTAGCTATTAAACGATGCTTAAGAAGGGCAGGTCTAGAGAAATCGGTAGCGATAGCTGAAATACCACCGGCTACCCTACGTCGTCAATTAGTTCGTAACTGCTTGTATGACCGTCTATGTGAAACAACAAATTGCGTAATTTGCCCTTACGGTAGGGACGGTAATTGCATGAGTTCAGGTACGATATACCTGATCTCTTGTAATGATTGCGGAGACGAATATGTTGGCGAAACGGGCAAACCTTTGTGTATCTGTATAAAAGAACACCTAGATGGCAAACGAAAAGCAAGGCAAGGCACACCACTAGGGACGCATAGGATACAAAAGCATAGCCGAAACTATTTTAATATGGAAGTCACTATCATCGCACACGGTGCCAAAACACCAGCGCGCAAGCTTCTGAGGCTTTTTGGATAAATGCCAAAGATCCTACAATGAATAGAAGGGAGGAATGCCCATGGGTCATACGCGACCTGACCCCGTGTGTTCGCATCAATTTCTGATGTGGGATGGTGCAGTCATCAACCATATGCGACTATAATCAGCTGTTCTAAACTTCTTCATTGGAAGTCACGTAAAAAAGTGGCTCTGAATAAGGCGATACTGCCGAAACGTCAGCTAGTGTTGCATTGCATTGTGTTTTCTGTGGAAGTAAATGTATGCTGTTTAAAAACCTCGCGATTGCTGAACAATAACGACGCATTCATATTCCAATGCTGAGGTTAATAGAAAATCGATCCTGGAAACTGTAGCATTTAAAATCTGACTTGGTAGAACCAACTGAGGACAATCGGCAACCGAAATACGAACACCATTGTGTACGTAAAACGTGAGCAAACTACTGTCACTGTCTATACAAGAGTACATGCACATAGCTCACCTAAAAAGGATAAAAAGAACAAAGCTCTCGGCGATGATCAATTGCTGAGAGATATGCCGTGCATTTCACTTCATTAGGCATCGTTGGAGGTGGTTGACTGCACACCTCGCCTTACAATAACTCTCGATTCTCTGCCGATGTATCGAGCCACTGCTTCTATCCTCCCAGACAAGTCTTGCACCAATTTACCGACCCAGGAGGATGAAGAGCTTGGTGGGCCTGGGACGTGGGGATCAATACCATGTGTATTGCAGAGCGCCTCGGACTACTGCGCTACATGCGCCATCATTCACATGGTAGGACAAATTTACGCGGTATGCATAGCAGACGAGTCTTCTCCAGCTTTCGTTTCGCACACATAGTCACACTCTCAATTAATACACATCTGGTGTTCATTAGACAACGTCAGTTCACAATAATCCCGCTCTAAATACACTTACAACACCCAACTAACAGACGCCTAACTTTCTGTGCCTGCACAGGATGCTTTCCAAACTCGTCTAACTCCCGACAAAATTTCGATAATCAGAGCACTGCAGCTAGTGGAAACTCAACAGACTTATAAAAGAGACTTTGCTCAGATTGTGGAATAACTTAATCAATTAACTGAGCTAACTTAACTAATTTTGGAAAACTTAAGTTTTTTTTTTGAGTAGGGTGTCGGTATTACCAATGGAATGCTATAGTAATAACAGCATATAGGATACGCTGTGTGATAAAATATTTCTGTTGGGGCAATGGACAAACTCTTGTAAAAAGTGGTCTTTTATAAAACACAATAGCTTCTGTAGCTCGCTAGTACATAGCATATACATATATATGTAATAGTAGTAGTAGGCTCCCAAATGGGTTCTGGAAAGTGTTCCTGGATGTCGGGCTGCGATGTACAGCAGGGGGATTCATGCCCCCGGCACGGTCTCCCATACTCAAAAGGAGTCCGGCGTTTCCGCCAGGAAGCTCTAATAAAGGTAGACCGATACCAGTATCCACCACCGTCCTGGTACCAAATTAGTTGCATGTTGGCAAATCTCCCTCAGATCCACAAGGCGGCTACAGCCTGAGGTGGTGACGATCTGGAGCAGACATTTGCCAGGCCAACCTCGGGACTCCAGGGACCAAAATGGTTGAACCAGCAATACTCCGAAAAGTGCAGAATGTACTGGGGTCAGCACAACTAGTGAGGACAGGTCGTTCAAGTATCTAAGTAAGTAGTAGTAGAAAAACAAACCTGACGAATCGTTCGCTCTTGGCGGAGAAGACGTTCTTGTTCTAAACGTAGCCTTTCATCTAACTCATCTTTTCTACGACGCATTTCCTAAAGCAAATCACAGCCATGAGTGGTTTACCCACGATTTGAGACCGCAAAAACTCCAAAAGAAGGAGGGGTAAAATTTAGGCATAATCACATCAATTCTCTGTTCCAGTTCAGCGCGATCCTTTTCGATGTCTGCTATGCATTTTTCAGTAGTTCGCTTCTGCTCTTTCATTCTATCAATATCTAAATACGTCTCAATAACTATTAGTACAAATGCAACTTAAACCTAAGTCATATTCACTGCAAACATTTTTATCGAATGCAAAACCAAACAAAGAACGTCCGCTTTCTCACACTCGCCTCTGAGTGCAGGTTGCCAAACAGACTGACTGAAGGAGGACCCGAAAACGTAATCTGATATAAACTTATCGTTCTGCAGCGAGCAAAAGAATGGAGTTTGCCAAATGGGATCACAAATGGGAGCAAAGCACACATGGTAAATCATTCCTGTGTACAATACAAACAGTTCCTCTAGCTATTCCTTCCTACTATTCGTAAATCTCAAAACAATAACAAAAATATGGGCTAAATTAAAGGCAAAGACATGCTTTGTTTACCTTTACTGCGGTTCTTCTAATAAGTTTTACTCTCGATAGTGTAGGTGGAAGACCATTGGTCAATACTTGACGTTTAAAAATATCTTCAACAGTGGAATCGTATACATATATATATATATATATATATATGTATATATATATATGTATGTATATGCATATATATACATAATGTATATATACGCATACGTATATATGCAGGTATATACAATATATGTATACTTATATATAAACATATATATATATGTATAAAGGATAACACGAAAAAGTTCCCGCCGTTGATCAATCCCTGTGGGATGCACCATGCATTCGACTTCATCAAACATCGCTTGGAGGTGACTGAATGCATATCCAGCCTTTACAATGACTTGCGATGGCCTACGGATGTATAGAGCCAGCGCTGCTATCCTCGCAGGCAAGTCTGGTACCAAATTGCTACAACGGAAGGATGGAAGGCTTGGTGGGCCATGGACGCTGGAATCGATTCCACGTGTGTATCGCAGCGGTGCCTCCAACCACTGCGCCACACGCGCCCTTAGACTGGTACACAGCCTGGAACAATCTGGCTTTTAACTTTACTTTGGCTCTGGTTTATGTATATACCCTCACCTTCGAAAAGGTCCAGGTATACTTTGAAACAAAGCCTCCCACCATTACAGTAATAACTCAAACTGATCTTCGCACCACTTTACAGCGATGATGGATATTTCTAAGTTTGTTCGTGAATACAATACCATGGGTCAGTAATACAAAGACCAATGCCTAAGTTGCTTAGAAATTAGGTGGTCAAAACATCGTTTAGTCTCCAAACAACAACAGAAGCTCCTTTAGCAGGAAAATTTGTCTAGATTAAGAACGGATGATACGAAGAACTAGATTCAAGCTAACAATGATTATTCCCCCATAGTCTGTGTAATTCACACAACAACAGCCACCACTTGCACTTGATAACAATATTTCCCAACCAAAACCCCCTTCTCTTCAGTAATTTTCTCATAGTTAAAAATAACTCGGCTTTACCAATTCCGTTTGAAACACATTGCAAAGAGCAACCGATGTGTCAATTTAGGCCTAAAACCAATGCACAAAAGTTAATAAACGTCATCTCCTAATATAACATACGAAGAAACTGGACTTGATGCAAGCAGTAACCGTATTTCTGCATGTAAACCACGTCTCAGAACAAACACCTCCTTTTCCAGAAAAGTTCATGATTAATCTAATGGCAGTCGTCTACTAAATTTCCAGCACTTACATCTCGAAATCTCATCCAGTTGTGGACCAATATTGGACGACATGCTCGAGAAATCTGTTAAGTGCTGAAAAGTTTCTGTAGTATTTAAAACCATTGGGAAGCTAGCTAAGGACTAAACACGTAACATCAGATATTGGGTCCAACCATATCTACTTGTTCACACAAAGCCGCAAAATAGAGCCCCACTCAGGAATATGAACACATGGCCTCTGGAGTGTTACAAACGAATGAAAATTTCACCGATTTTCAATCAAGTTACTCGACGTCTAAGGGTTTACGTCCCATACAGATTACAATAACCCTTGAAATAATGACAAGCAATCCACAACCAAATGTGGCTAACGAACTTCATTGAACTATAAAAAGAACTCCCACCTATAATACTACAATACTCTACTAAACAGTTCGTTACATTCACCTAGGTATAAACGGAAAGTATCCTTTCAATCTCGCCAACAAAAACATAATTCCATCACATTTATCAACGTCAAGGTAACAACAGATCAACAATAAGCCACATGAATTTACTTCTTTCCAGCCGAAACAGTGGCCTTCTTGATACCGCGAACTTTCTTTTGTCGGTTCCTTCGTTCCTTTCGCTGCTTCCGACCTCCTTTATCAACTTTCTGAGCCAGACCCATCTAAAGCATGCGCATTTTTTCCGTGTTGGTATAAATCAAGAACGAAATTTGGCGTGTAATAAAAGAAGTTTGAAACAGCAAGAAGACAGAAAGTTGCGACATGAAAAGGAACAAGGCAAGCATTTATAATCCAAGTTCTATGTGAACATACACGAATTAGGCGGTATTTTGGCTCGAATTTCTTCGCGTAGTCAAGAGTATCATAAATAAGTGCGAATCCTTTCGTCTTTCCACCACCGATAGCCGACTGGAAACCGAAAGGAATGACGACGTCAGGGGTTGTCTTATACATTTTCGCTATCTTCTCCCTAATATCTGCTTTAGGAACAGTAGGACGTCCAGGGTGAAGAACTTCCACTACCTGAAGAACATCTGAAGAATTTCTACGAAGTGTTGTATAAAATATTAAGCAAGTGAAAAAGTTCTGATTAGGATGTAGTTGACGAAAACTCGCAACAAGTCTGCTATGCTCAATGTTTAGTGGGCAAGCAAATATGTTTGCTTGGCATTAACATAAAATTAAAAGGATTACAAGCAATAACTGACGTTAATAAACCCACTAAACTACATAGGGTAACCAAACTTTTAGCACATACAATAGTGGAAGATGTCATCACACAACTTCTCACTTTAGGTTTTGCTTTTAACCCATTCGAGATGGCGCCCTATTTTTACGGCTGTTCCAATGGAATCAGAGAAATTTTCCGACATCTGTAGATTTTCTACGTTCTTTCTTTTTTGAAAGTAAACAATATTCCAATAATCACAGGGCATGGGGGTTGTGGACACAATAGGATTGTAGAACAGATTTTACCCTACCATTCTATGAAAATGAATGATATACATGCCATGATTTACTGTGTTATCATGCTCCATCGTACAAACACTGCTTCCGGCATTTGAAAATATTTTGCAGCCTATGTTATGTTACTTCAGTACTCTTTATATCTTCATATCCCATATAATAGTCATAACGATCGAGATGAATAGTTTTAAGTTAAATCATCGGTCAATGAAATTTCCAAAAAGGTACTTTTTTAAATCAACAAGTGCAAGAACGGAATCCTTGGTCTCAACGTTTTCCTAGTTTTATCCGTTTTCGACTAGTTATCGAATGAATATTACGCAATGTTGATATAGTAAACACAAAACCTCTGGGACTCAAAGGACTGAAAACGAATACATTATCCATACTGTCCTTATTGTGGCAAACGGGTTAAGTACTTCTATGGTTATGCGTTCATATTGCACACCATTTAAAAATGCTCCCATTTATCAGTTAACTTGTGTTCAAACTCAGCCATGGAGACAAAATTTTAAAAAACCGTAAACACAAGCAATTTTTTTTTTACAAAAATCCAGACTTGGGAGGAAAGCCACAGAAATCTTGCAATAACAAATCCTTTTTGCCTTATAACCGTTAAGTATCGTGCCATGCATCGATTCGTTTCAAGTCTTCCGATCGGAAAACATGCGGGTTGAGGACGATCTGTCATCAACAATGGTCATTTGAGGAAATTAACTGACGCACATCCGGACATTATGGTTATACGACTTCCAGAAGAAGCGCAAATAAGACAGCTCCTAAACGGTTCAACCAAGATAGAGAGTCAAAAACAAGATAACCGGGTTTCCACATGAAGCATGAACATAAAGTGAATAGCGTCTCATTCATTTCTAAAAAAATAACGGGGAAACAGAAGCAAATATGTGAGATCGAATACAGAGACAAGATCAATCGTCAATAAGCTTAAGTGTCATGCGCCTTATTGTAGATTGTTTTAAGAAGGTAAGGAACGATCGTTGCAAAAGCACTAAGTTGAAACAGAACTAACCGTCCACCATACATGCATCTCCTGTCTCTGTAAGGATAAAGAGCAGTTTTCATGAAAAAACAGCATACCAGGCGATGATGAAGCAACGCCTATCATATAGGCGACACGTTATATAAATAATTTGTTTCGTCTAGTAAGAAATCCACGCAGTAACGACTAAGTACCTCATGTGGAAACAACTGTGTACTGTCATGTGTGCATATTGATATCGTTGGACTGTCAACGCTCGACTAAATGTTTTACGCCAATAAACTTATCGCGACTCTCACACCACAGAAGAAAAATATAGTAATGTAGCACACACAGAAAACACTGTTACCGAACTTAACCCTTTTATTTACTGCCTTTTTCTTTTTAATGGCACGGTATGTTGCGAAATATAACACGTATATAAAGATGAGATATTTGCAAAACTCCGGACCGCAGCTGTATGCGGTGGGGAAAGAACGCGCTATTGTCCTTACCGGGAGTAGCGCACTCCACCACCACACTATCCAGGTCCTTTGTTTTCCCTGTTTCTCACTTAGTTCTATTGATCTTTTATTGATCTTTTGCCATCAGCAATCACCCGTCAACGGGATTGATCTGGGGAACCCGGCATTGAACCCAGTTAAGCTGAGGCTTAGTTATAATCACAAGCTTAACCCTTTTATTTACTGCCTTTTCCTTTTAAATGACAGAGTATGTTGCGATAGAACTAGATAGAACTAGCTGAGAGACAAGCAAAACGAAGGACCCGGATGGTGTGGTGGTGAAGTGCGCTACTCCCCGGTAAGGACAATAGCGCGTTCGTTCCCCACCGCATACACCTGTGGTCCGGAGTTTTGCACCAAATATCTCATCATTATATACGTGTTATATTTCGCAACATACCCTGCCGTTAAAAAGAAAAAGGCAGTAAATAAAAGGGTTAAGTTTGGTAACAGTGTTTTCTGTGTGTGTTACCAATTATATACTGTTGCCAAAGTTCATGACCAAAAGAATTCAAACCTAAAACCATACTCCGCTCGTAAACTTAATGGAAACCTTCATAAAAGCAAAAGTAACTAATAACTTGAAAACTGACTAAGTATCGGAACAGAAAAAGGCATACTGTGAGACGGTAGCGGGTGGGAAAGCTTTATGTACTTAGAACACTTCTTTCCGAACCAGAAATAAAGATCATGGGCGCATTTAAATTTCACAATTGGAGCTAGGTTATTCGAAAACGACATCACCCTCAACGTGAAAACTTTTGTTCGAAAAGGTGAGTGTTTAAAAAGAAAAACAATCAGCGCTACTTGTGTAGATGTTGTACGAAAAGCAAAGTAGCACGAGAGCAACTGTCGTTGATCTTGATAACGAGACCTTTGGTTTGACGATAACTTCACTCTTATAACAGAAAACATTAGCCAGGCTAACTCCGAAGCTTGAGAAAATCATGGTACCAAAACATGGGATTATCCCTCTACCGACTTAGCAACCATACTTCAATATAAACACCGTGAATGAAAAAAGCTTTATGCCCTTCGTGTGCCATAAGAGAACATTACCCACTGGTGAATAATGGCACGCCTGGGCGATTGCAGACTTTTAAACCCTTTCGATAAAACCTCCAGATCTCTCTCACGGAGGAATCCTTCAGTGGTTACGAGGCTGTGTGGTGCGACCACGAATGGCTAATAAAAGACGGACCTAATGCGACAATGTGCCTACCTAAGATGCAGACAGACACAGGGATTAAAGGATAAACCTTTCAAAGTTGATCAAACCCTAGGAGTCAATTTGGCCAAAAGTTTGCAACCAAGTGACTGAGAAGCAAATAGGTGGTTAGGAATCGTTTTCAACACACCTACTGCATGTCGACTCTGGAACAGACTTGCATTATATCCAGGAAATTCAGCCAGCAAAAAAGTAAAATAAAATAAAATGAAGCAAATGGGCCGCTTCACCTGACTAGCTATGAACCGCGAATGTATTCCTATTCCATTCATGAAGATCTTCGCTACGTTGACAATTTCGTAACGAAAACACCACCATCATGCAACGATGCAAGCGTTGATGTAGAGGTATTCAACGATGCAATACCAACAATTGAATATCGGGATGTCACGGCAACTAAATCATTTTGTATAACTTCTTATTTACTGCCTAATTTTTTCATGGCAAGGCAATACGTGAAATACAACCACAACGATGCTGAGATATGTTCAAAACTCAGACTCCTGGCCAGATCCCAGATTCCAAGATCTCAGCATCATTGTGGTCGTGTTCCATATAACACCCTGCCATGAAAAATATAATGGGCAGTAAATAAAAAGTTATTCATTTCGATTTCGACTACAGCATCAGCTTAACTGGGTTCAATGCCGATTTGTGCTCCCCAGACCATTTCCGTTGATGGGTGAAAGCTGATGGCACGGCTTGGGTAAAAAGATTAGCTAAGAGAAAGCCAAGCAATAACGAGCTGCCTCAGCGGTGCTGTGCGTAACACGTCAGCTCCCGGAAAGCAGTGTAATCACTGGTTCGAATCTGGTCTGAGGTATGAGTTTTGCAAACATCACAGCACCATTGAGGTTGTAAGTCATTTTGGTTTCGCTAATGATATCATTCTCTTAACAACAAGCGTTAGCTCTGCGGAACCAGTACTGGTCGACTTCCAAAACACCTGTCGAAAGACTGGTTCTTCGACTCAATCTCAGAAAAACGGCGTCCAAAAAATAAAGAAATGTTTCTAACATCTCATTCAGGCTCAGCAGAACGAGTTCCATCAAATTATACTGCTTCGTGTATCTCGATCGAGAAGACAACATTAAGCACTACTCAGTTTCATAACTGGAAAGGATTCGAGAAACTTAAACAACCTCAAAGAGCACTGCCGAGTATGCTATTTCACTCCTGCTATGTTCCATTCCACTCGCTTCGACTTGATACAACTATGACAACTTCTCCGTCTAACGTACAAAAGGAAGAGGCAACTGAGTCAGCAGCAAGCATTTTTCACGCATACATCAGAAGAAAAAGATGTTTAAAACGATAAAAAAGTTAAGAGAATCTACTGGACCAGTCTTTCCGCGACAAGGACAAATAGACACTTTACTGGCAGAAGATCGAGTCACTTGACGATGAACGACAGGACATGCAATACAAATGGTTATAAAATAGCGGTACTAGATGAAAATTTCTCAATCGATCGCTCGTTTTATTCGATGACCAATGCAGGAAGCCATATGGGTGACACACAAAGGAAAGGAAACGAAGAAATATCGAAGTGCGAGCTCATAAAAATATGATTTAGCAAACAGACTTGTAAACATTTTGACAGTTACTATCAAACCGTCAACTTTTCAAATAAGTCTCTCTAGAGAACTCGTTTTAAAGACTTAGTAAAGCAAATAAAAAGAACATGTTGAGGTAGACAATCATAAGCTTTACATTAAAATAAGTACTAACCATTTGCTTCCTATAAAGAAGGCGATTAGAGAGGACTTTTCTCGTCCTAATTGTGACAACGTCGCCCTGAATACGAACCTTTCATTGCATGTGCTTACATTCGCAAGGAAACAAAACTTACCATCGTCCTGGAGCGCAGACAGATCCCTGAAATGGAGAAGATATACTGGGCGCAACAGGAAACACTCCAACAAAAGAACAGCACCCAACGATAAGGTATCCAAATTCTAGTTCTACAGTGGATAAAAGGACAAAGAATAAAGATTTCAGAGTTTATCAATCCCTGAAGGATGCACCATGCATTCAACTTCTTTAAGCATCGTTGGAAGTGAATGAATGCAAACCTGGCCTTTACAATGACTCGCGGTAGCCTACCGATGCATCGAGCCAGTGCTGCTATCCTCCCAGACAAGTCTGGTAACAATTAGCCTACCCCAGAGGGATGGAGGGCTTGGTGGGTCATGGAGGTGGGGCTCAATCCCACGTGTAATGCAGGGCGCCTGCCTCCGACCACTGCGCCTCATGAGCCCTCCATTCCATAATGGACTACATTGAAGCGATGAGAATGTCAATTTCCGATTTTCATAGCACAAAACTACAAAGTAATTAAGAACTGGGTCAACACTCTGAAATACATTGATTTTAGGCAAAGTGAAAAGAAAAGTCGTAAGCGTGACATGCAGTCGTCGAATACGAAGCAGAGTGTCCCGAGTGGAATGGTACGCAGTGAAACGTCATGGTTGGGGCGCTAAGAAAAATCTCTTCCTACAAGTTTGCACACCTAGTTTATATGTGTTTTACATGTGGTGTAGGTATTCTCGGTTTTTGAAATTATGTGAAAAATATGTGACGAGCCTGAAATGTTTGTCTTCGTGACAGTGCCACTTCTGTTTAAAGAGTGTAATCCGATGTTTAAAGTATATGGGTCCATTTGTCGATTATCGAGAACCGCTGAGGTGGATTTCAAATGTGACGAAGAGGTGGACTGAAACCAGTTATGTCGTTCTCGGCTTTATTCCTTATGTTGGTGTGTAATTTTGGATTGTGGCCTTGCCACGAACAAACATACCGCACTGATTGACCGTCGTCATTCTTTATCGCTTAGTGTTTTGAAGTTTTCCATTACCATGCTGGATACTCAAAAGCTCGACTTTCTAGAAACCTCGACGTAATAATCGATATGTCTGCTTATATGTCCTCACGAACTGCCCTTTTTTATCTGACGCGAGGTTGGTATAGATGTGATCATTGTTGTTGCTGTTTTTGTTTAATGGCTGACGTTTCGGCGACTTCGCCTTCCTCGCCTTCGAGAGGTGAAGCTCGCTCGTGGACGGCACAGGTGGTGCAACGGCAAGGCTCTGAGGAAGGCAAAGTCTCCGAAACGTCAGCAATAAAACAGCGTCAACAACAGCAATATGTTAGGTACTGTGAAAAACGAAGATTTTTGTTACAACTGTACTGAGTGGCGGCTTCACAGGGTTTCAGATCTTTAGGGAAAAGCGTTCTCTCCTAAGCCAGAAAAATGTGCTTTCTCGATCAGTTCCCCTGCTTTCTCCTTTTCGTTCGTCAAGCACTCACACTCTATC